TCATTGGTTGAAAGTAGGGAATGATGGAAAATTTTCACAGTCATAATTTAAGATCTTTTTAGCCCTTTGTACCAGAAAATCAGTCTTTCAATTAGAATCGACTTTCTTTTTTAAATTCTAAGCTAGAAGATATAAGCACAATTATTTATGACGTCTTTATAATTTTAACCAATTTCCCCAGTCGTTTCCAGTCGAGAATAAGATTTATATTTTTGCAAAACTACTTTCTAGATCATCGCAGCATTATGCTTAAAAATGATTTAGATCTCAACATTCTAGCCTAGTTAGATTCCATTAACTGTTATTATTATTAGAAATTTTCGTATTTTTTAAGGGCAGGTTCACTTTGGCCCTCAGGACGATCACCTGAGTCACCACCCATTCAAAAATCATATCCCATTACTTGAAGTCATGAATTATTTTTTTCTACTACTAGAGCTTCCTGATAATTATTTTTGTATCCAGGATATCCTGAATTTGGTAATTATTTGCATTCAACCTCATTCAATTTTAGAATAAATTGTCCTAATTTTTTAAAATCAAGGGAAAATTTCCTTATTTTCGTTTAATGAAATATTTATCATTAAAGTTCTCAAAGTTCTCATCTTTTTTATATATTTTCAATTTTTTAAATTTTTCTGTTTCAATTTTAGAATTAATTAGACGAATTATAAATGAAAAAATGTTCACTACGTGAACATAAGGAAAAGATTATGATTTGCGTTATTGTCAAGAGTTCATCTTTTAATCAGAGTTCATCTTTTTTTATTTTTTGGGGTTCACTTCTTCATTCTTTATTAAATTATTACAATGTTGGTGAAAGATATGCTTCTTATATCCATTAATTTGACTTTCATCATCATCTCTTGTTAGATTTTTCAGAATCACTTTTGACGATTACGATTAGATACATTAAATTGCTGTAGATCGTGGATTTATCATGGATTATGTATCATGGATTTTAAGAAGCATGTATAAGGAAAAGACTTCGTTAAAATGGTCTTTAAAAGAACTGCTTGTGAAAATTTAAATGTTTCGTTTCTTTTGTCCAATTCATTTCATTATTAGTCATTTTTTGATTTGTCGTCGTTTTTTCACTTTTATTTTTCGTGACTAAATTCATAAATATAAATGAATTTATATTATTGATTAAATTCATATTAATGCTTCATCAATTTGCAAAAAGCATTTTTGTTGCTTAATTGCTCAAATAAAATTTTTTTCGTCAATGTTGGGCATTGCGGAATTATTTTTATCTTATTTATTATTAAAAATTGCATTTTATTATTAATTTATTATTATAAATTGTATTTTAATTATGATAATTATCTTATTATCATTATAATCAGAAGCACATTTGCGGGTATATAAAAGGATAGTTTCGACGAGTAGTGTTCCGACTATGGACGAGTCACCATTTCGATGTTTACTGATAAAAATAAAAGTATTATTGAAAGTGAAAGCGAGCGCTAGGCTCATCTTAGGCTCATCCTAAGTATTATTTAGAAATATGTGAAACTAAAATAAAAATGCGAACTACAAAATTTAAATAAATGTGTTTCTTATCGATTTTCTTCGAGTAAATAAGTAAGTGTTTTAATAGTATTTATAAAATATAAAAATACTTCTTAAAACTCCACTCCAAAAATTTCCAAAAAATCTGTAAATTTTTCGGGAAAGAAATCGATAAATTTTATATAGCTAATTTTTTTTATTTTTCATCATGCTACAATGGCAGAACACGGGATTTTTTTCTCCGCAAATAAAAAACAATATTATGGAATGTAAATGAAAAGAAAAGGAATTGAAAAGCATGTTGAATATTTAAAAATCGTCGTCTTATTCTCTCTGCTTTATTTCAGCATTCATATTAATTTTGATTCTTTTTTCTTCGAACTCACTTCCCTTTTCTGATTTAGGTAAGTCCATCGATCTATACTAGGGTGAGATAGAGTGTTGCTTGGGATAGACGAGTCTAGAACCACTCCGGTCTTGCTTTTAATGTTCAGCTTTATTCTTATTTAAGTGAAATAAATCGAAATAAATAAATGTTCAGGTTTATGATGGCTTAATGGCTGTCGGAGCCATTTTTGAGCCTTAATATTATATTCGAATATTTTTAACTGTTAATAAAATATAACCATTATGTGGCGTTTCTTATTCTGCTTAATTTTTTTGCTATTAAGGAACGATTTTTTCAGTTTTTCAGATGCGATTATTATTTTTGAATTTATTTATTTAAAATTTCTATTTTTTTAAATAACCATTTTAATAATCATTTAAGAAAAATTACTCACTGCATATTATAAGTAAATAAGTTAATACTTTCAAATACTTTGAACTACGAACTTCTTTTCAAAAAATTTTTTGAAAGATTTTTTTCAATTAAAAGTTTTTTTTTTCTAACGGATTTTTCTTAGGTAAGTGGTACTCCTATCACTTCTGATGGTAGGTGAGTGACTAACACTCTTATCATTTCTGGTTCCTCTAGTTTCCTTCTGGTTAACTGGTAGTACGGTTAGAAATTTTAGGGAATCATATGACGGTAGAAATTGGTCGTCTGTATTTCCCATATTTTTAAAGTCTTATTGAAGACAAAATGGCAGAACCTTGCCTCTCAATTTTGCAATTTCATAAATCTATTAATAGATGTTAGTTTTTGCGAAATTATTAAAATTTTTCTGCATTTGTTAACCAATCGAAAAACTGAATTTAGACTTTTTTCCCATCAATCTCTATATTGTTGTGAATTTTTTATTCTGTATTCTTTTTGAGTTTTTTTTTGATTTGTACTTCTTGTGTTCGACAAAATCTTTCTTTCCCATTCTCAGATATCAAATTTTCTTAAAACGGTTCGTTTAAGTAGAAAATTCTTATTATTATTATAATTGTTATTTAGAACTTTCTTCATCTATTCATTTCTAACCGTTTATATATTTAGCTATGTTTAGCTATATTTTTTATATTTATAATCTTCATGCACTTATCTTGTTCTTTACATTAGCATTATAATATGTAAAAGATAGATGTTTTTGTATTCGTTATGGATTCTATGGAAATATTTCAATCCAAAAAATATCCGTGGTTCGTAAATTCAATGGATTAAAATTTCCTTAGAACTTTTTAAATTTGTCGCTTATTGTAAGTTTGGATGTTACCTACTTTAAAGAGCAACTTGATTTTCTTTAGCAACTTGTTTTACAAATTCTAAAAACTAAGACATAAATCGAACCACCCATATTGTCAGTTAGCTTTGGATTTCTAAAACCCATTATTCCTTAAAATTCTTTGGAACGATTAAGAAGCAATTATAAGAAAAGCAATAATCAGCGTGGGTTCGAAACGAACTTTGGCATTAAATAAATTTTAGTTCCATTCGCTCCATTGGCTATCAGCGCAATGAGAAATTTTTCCAAGGTATAATTTGGCGATAAAGATACACTGAAAACACTATTGGTATTTGATGATAAATTAACTTCTACCGGAAGCAAGACCTAAGGCTTGATATGCAAACTTTTTATCTAATCTGAGCTACAAATACTCGCCTATTTTGCCTCAGCTCTAACAGTCATAGGGCCAGCTTAGAATTTTGTTTGACGAAATTTGAAAAATTGTAAGACAATCGAATTTGTATAATACCGAATGTTAAATGCTATAAATTTTACATTTAATCGTTCTGTCAATTGGAGGAAAATTTGGCAAATACTTAAACTCTATTAAAAATTTATATTTCTTGGAATTTTTATTCAATTTGCTTTTTGGAAATTTATGCAGCTGACATTTACGGATATGCTAGTCATTTTAAATCAGTCTTGTTTATCAATAGCTTTCGCTTTATCTGTCTTGACCATAATATATCAGATAAAATTCAAACCACGACATAAATACTAAATAAATATAATGCAATATGCATCAATAATTTAGCTGTCCAATCTGAGAACAGAATCGCCGGAATGGTGTATTGCTTCGACTCAAGCAAGCATCATGGATTCGATTCATTCCATGATCCAACTGTCATTAAATGCAGATGATTTGAGATGGTAGTTTCTTTTTTTAGAACTTAGGCTCATTACGCAAGTTTATCGTGCTAGATAAATTTTGCCAAGATTCACTATGCTAATGCATTTGGCAGAGGTTTCTTTTTGGAGATAACAGATTTTTAAAAAATTCTATAGATCAATTGTATAAGGCAAATTGAAATTTTTATGAATATTTTATGGATGAATGGACCATTATTTTTAAGCCATTACATTTTTTGATTCTTCAAAACTGGAAATGGTCTATGAATAAATTTAATGAATAGTGAATTTGTCGTCTTAAATTGAATCAATCAATAGACTTTATTGTTTCGTTACGTACAGAGATGATTGTGAACATGTAGTGTGAATGAAATGTGAAAGATTTAATTAAATCTTCAAAGCAGTAATTTAGTAATTTATATATCTTTGGCGAAATCTCACTGTTGTTGCCTGCGAAGCCAACCAAAAATGCTGTAGTAGAAGAATAAGCATGTTGGGGGCAATGCTGTCGTTTTAACGCTTAAAGTTCCAGCTAGCATTTTATGCGGTTTTTCATTTTTCATCGATCATCATCTTTCTTTTTGTCGTATATTACAGTCGCCTTTTTATTCAGCAAAATACGATTATAAATAACAAAGCAGTAATTTAGTAATTTATATATCTTTGGCGAAATCTCACTGTTGTTGCCTGCGAAGCCAACCAAAAATGCGATTTTTGCAATTAATTTAAAATTAAATAGTTAAGCCAATGTTTCCTTCATTTACTGATTTCATTGTACCAAATAAATTTAGTGATTTATTGGGATACTGAATCGATCATCGATCATCTATTTTACCAAGTTTATTGAATTATCGGAATGTAAATTAACGATTAATAGATCTATTTTTCCCAGTTTATTCATGCTTATACATATCTAAAGAAAAATAAGTGACATAGACATTTTAGATGGGATTTTCAGATATTATAAAATAGGCTATTAAGCATTGTCAAAACAAGCTTAAACGAAAGTGTTTGTGGGGATGCGTAATGCTTTTGGAAAGGCTATTAATAATAGCCACAATGGTTGATTCAGTTTTTTCCATTGATCTACACATTGGTGGTGTCTTTCCAATGGAAGCAGGTTCTGGAGGTTGGGCTGGAGGTCAAGCCTGTTTACCAGCTGTTCAAATGGCACTTCGTGATGTTAATGCGAATCGCAATATATTAATGGGATACAACCTTGTGTTGCATCATCACAATAGTAAGGTATGCTTTATAATCTTTATGAGACAGTCGTCTGCCGAATATATACCACACATTGTACCACACATTATAATTTCCGATAATCAATTTGGAAAACTCTAATTCCTCAGTTTCACCAAACATAGTTTCAGTCGAATAGTTTGGGGGATTCAGTAAGCAATTAGAGGTTATTTATTGCATTTAATTAAATTATTCGTACTATTTTCATAAACAACATTCATATTTATCAAACGATTGAAACAAATCAGGTAAATTAGGTTAAATATTTTTTATTAAACATATATTATACAATTAAACCAATTAAAAATATTGAACATATTTTTAAAAATATTCTTAACTATTATAAGGAAGGATGAACCTAAACGTGTAAAATAATTAATGAGTTTCAAAGCACATAAATCAAATAAGTAGTCTCTGCAAAGCGAAACAATCAAAACGATCGAATGCTAATTTTCAGTGAAACTGAACCTTAGCAAATAAAAAGGAATACAAATTCATAAGTTTGGTTTTTCACTGCCATAACTTGCCTTGAGAAGAAGAAAAAATAAATTTTCACCGTGTCGAATAATTTATTATCGCTAAATTATCACAGTAAGAAGTAAGATAAGGGGTAAGAGGTAAGTTGCTGCTCAGTTTATTGCTTCATAAATTGAAGTTTGGATCCAGCATTTAAAAATGCTGCAAACTCATCTACATTTCTATTCTTCTAAAATGACTCGTTAGCAAAAATCTTTTATCTAAGTTACTAACGTAAATTATTTAATTATTGAAACTGAAATTAAATTAGAGTGTGAATTTTCAATTTTATAAATGTCTTTTATTATCGTTATTTGCATAAATTTACCAAATTTACTAAATTTTTCTAATTTCAGCTCATAATATAAGTTTCTATACTCAGTTTAACAAATATCAATAAATTGGGCAAAAATTTTATCTTTTAAAATTCTTTCGAAAATGAAGAGTTAAAGGGATTGTCACAAAACGTTTCAAATATTCTTATCTTTATTTTTATCTTTATTTATTTTTATTTTTACACTCATCTTAAATTGGTAACCTTAATTTTCCAGTGAAAGATTGAAAATAATGCATTTTAGTGTCAACCAGGCCTGGCAGCTAAGCAGTTATATGAACTACTGTATAGGTCTCCAACGAAATTGATTTTACTTGCTGGTTGTAGCCCAGTTACTACAATCATTGCAGAAGCTGCACCTGTATGGAATCTTATTGTAGTAAATATTATATTTATTTTTGGGATAAAAATGTTTGATAACACATTGAAAAAAATTATTTACAATGTAATGTTCCATTATTTTATCGAAACGTTAGAAATGTCCAAAATTTTTGCAAAATAGAGATTTCAATCCATAATTCTCCCAATTGATGCAATTTTCATGGAAAAACGAGTAAAATTTACATTCTCTAAATGAGATGGATATCCTCATATTGATCCCAAAATGAATGGATAAATTCTAAAATTGGCCTTTTTTGAGAGAAATATGGCAAAATTTAGGTGAACAATAATCTTTGCAAGGGAAAGCACAATTTGCTAAAATTGATAACTTGGATCAAAGTATTAATCAAATAAATTAAATTGTATTAAACATCCATGAAAGATTGCTTAAATCTATTTCTATTTCTATTTCTATTTCTATATCTTTCTACTTTGGAAAGGAAGGGCAACGCACATACGAACTTAAAAAATAATCTAAATGGAATTAAATCAGCCTGAGCTTCAATTTTTTTCATTATTAAAAGTTGACAATTAACTTCACTTTAGCTATCATATGGAGGAAGTTCACCAGCATTATCGAATAGGAAACGTTTTCCAACGTTATTTCGCACGCATCCAACCGCTAATATGCAAAACCCAACCAGGTTATTGCACCATAAAAATTAGAATTAATTAAATTCACCAGAAAATTCTCATGGCTTGCTTATTAATACAAAAAAGTATCAGAGCTTTGCCATTTCTGGCTAAGCATGCTCCATTTATTATTAGAAAGCCTTGCCACAGAATAATTTCGGAATAGAAGCAAAGGTGAATCGTCAATACCGCTGGGTTTTCAAACAAATTTAAGAGATAGATTTCGAACCACAGCTATTCTATTTAATTATTAATGCAAGTAATTCTACTGGTTTTATTGATTAAAAAATTCAGAAAAAACTCTTTTGCAATTAAACTTTTTTTCAAATTTGAGTCAGTTGACACTATCGCGAAACAGCGAAAACAAAAAAAAGACTACTATGGGGTCATAAAGATAGAAAATGGGTTTAAACCAGCAGCTAGCTTGTCTTGCCCACAAATGCCGATCAATAAAGGACCAATGAAGAAGGGGTCGGCGAGACAGTTTTCATGGCTTCAGAGCGCTGTACTGGTGCCATACAAAAGGATTCGATGGTACATATAAAGAAAGCCACTGGAGCACGAAAAATTAAAAAAAATTGATTTAGAGATAACGGCGAATGGTCCAATGAAAGATATAAAAGCGTCGAGAAGTGGAGCACGAAAGGAGTGGAAATGGACCCCAAAATAGCTTTTTTTCGCTTTCACCATTTCGCGATAGATATCAATTACAAATAATAAAATATAACTTTTAGAATTAAATTATTTCATAAATTCAAATGGAAAAGAATCACAGTTCTACAATCTGTTGAAGAAGTTTTTACGTCGACAGCAAAAGATCTCGAAAATCAATGTAGGGATAGTGGAATTCGAATTGAACGGCAAAGTTTCTATGGTGATCCTACAGATGCAATTAAAACGTTAGTGCGACAGGATGCAAGAATTATTGTTGGATTATTTTACGTCACTGAAGCAAGACGAGTTCTTTGCCAGGTAAGCACATTACATTACATTACATGCTTGTAAAATTCTCAGAAATACCGTAAATCTCTTGCTTGACTATTCTATTTACAAAAATGTGAAATGCAGTGGCCCTCATAAATTTTCAGGCATACAGACATGGATTATATGGAAGAAAATATGTTTGGTTTTTTATTGGTTGGTACGCGGACACTTGGTTCATACCGCCACCAGAAGAACCAGTTAATTGCACCGTTGAACAAGTCATTTTAGCAATTTTTTTCTCATTCCAAAAATGAAACAGACAAAGACAATTGCAATAGTTTCATTCAAAAATTTCATTAAGATGACAATTGCTGCGCAGTATCATATTACAACAGAAAGTATTATGCTAAGTAAAAATGAACAAAAAACGATATCAGGAATGACTGGATTTGAATTCCAACAAAAACTTATGGATATCATTAAAACAGACCCAGCGAACACTGGCGGATTTCCGGAAGCACCACTCGCTTATGATGCAGTTTGGTTAGCTTTATTCAGTTTCATTCTCATCACTTTAAGTGGAGAAGTTAATCAATTTTATTTGCTTATTTTAATGCATTAAAATTATAAAAGCAATCGTATAAATGGATAACTGTTTAGAAAAGGGCGCTTTCTCTACCCTTTTTAAAATTTTTAATTATTCAAAATAATTTATAAGTTGAAATAATCTAAACCAAACTCATAAGAGTCTATTAGGTAATTTGTGGAAATCAACGTTAATTCTAACTCAAAAGCAATTTCAAACGTCGATATTATAGGCATTTATGAATTACTAAAAAAATTCATCTTAAGCAACTAAATTCATATTTAGTGGACAGAAAAAATTTTATGATATAAATTACTAAATATTTGTTTAACAGGGCCATTGCGTTAGCGTTCAACTGTACATTGACAAGATTATCTAACTCACAAACTCTGGCGGATTTCACTTACAATAATACTGTCATAGCGAATAAATTGTTTAACTGTGTTAAAAATACACAATTCAAAGGTGTTTCGGTAAGAAATATTTTATACAATGAATGTTTATTTTACTGAGAAAAAAAATTTTTTTATTAAGTTTATTAAGTAGCTAGCGGCGTTCAGGAGCTATATAAGAGTTAGACAAGTTCGACTTTTGGACTCTTCCTGCTTATTTATTTATTGAAAACCATCCAAGCAGGGCGACAACGCCATGTGCTTATATTAATAACAGCAGTTAAAATAACAAATTATAAAAATTAATCATAGGAAAAAAAAAGAAAATATGACAAAACATTAAGAATTTAAAGATGAAATTGCAGAATAATAAAATAGAGTTAGATATTTTTGTTAAAGAATTATTCTGCGGCTACAGCTAGATTCATCTGAGGGCTCTTTAATGACTTCTGTCTAAGATGGCAATCAGATCATTGCTTCATAATCGGAATTATTTCCTTAGCTTCCTCAGCGAAATTTATCTATTCCAACCAGCGAAGCGAGCCTAATGGCGAAAACTTTGAGAAAAAATTTCAATGTTACTATTATTCAGTATAATACCTTTTATTTGCTCTCCTCTTCTACTCTATAAGACCACCTTCAGATTTTTTGATTTGTAAAAATAAGCAAAATTTATAATTAAAGAATGTGCGAGGATAAAGCAACCTAAATCATTTCTAGAAGTGATCGATTGGATGCTTTTATGCATATTAATGAAAAAAGTGCTCTATTTATTTAGAAAATTTCTGAGCATATAGTTTAAAATTCTAGAAGATTATTCGATAATTTTTTTACCATTTATAAACCAAAAGTAAGAATTTTGATCATTCAACAATTCAACAATAAATTAGGCTGGAATAATTCTTGATCGAGTTAATGGGAGATTGGAGCATTTTATATTTGTTATATCCATTAATAAATTTTTTATAACTTATATAACTGAGTTATTCAGTTCATCCTGATGACCATTTAAATACTCATTTTCCATTTTAAAATAAATTTTAAAATAAATGATTAACATATAAATAAATAGATGAATTATTAATTACAATATAAATAAAATAATAATAAAAATAATAAAATAATATAAATAATCAATATAAATAATCTCATAGCACCAATAATATATCAAGAAGATATCGACGAATATCACCATATCGGTACAGCTATCTTGAGATGCAACAGTAATAAGCAAGATAAAAATGCGATAGCGGACATGAAAATTCGACGATTTTTAGGGTCAAGTGATGTTTTCCGATTTGGGTGATAGAATCGCTCGAACGCAGATTGAACAGTTGCAAGGTTAAAGATTACTACATTTACTACACTTTTTTTAAAATGCTCAAATTTTTCTTATTCATGAAATTTTCAAATTCGATTTTATTTAATTCTCAATAAGTTGTCAAGAACAACAAAAAAAAACTGAAGATGACGTGGATGATAAGAAAAGGGTCATTTAAAGGATGGGAATGGGAAATCTTCTATTATACTTTATTTGTCTTTTTCAGTATTATTTTGTTAAAATTATTTTTTAATATTTTGTAAGAAATTTCAGAATTCCTTAATTAAAAATTGCGACTTATACAGTGATTTTCATTTTTTAAAAAAAAATCAAAACTGATAGTCAACGTTATTAAACATCATTTGTTTAATAAAATACTTTAAAAAGATCATCTACCTTGCATTCGACACTTCAATACTCTTAAATTGTCGCGTTTAACGGTGAAATGGATTTCTTTTTTTTTCGAGGATTCCTTCAAGCAATTATTTTCCGTTTTTTTCATATAAAACATTGAACAATCGTCACATTTTATAATATAATGAAAGAGTACTGTAGAATTTTTTTTTCCGAAGGAATCTTGTAATTCTGAATTTGTTGATTACAAATTTCACGTTATTATAGTGAATCTATTGAAAGGAATATAAATATAATATGGCAATAACAAAATAAGCAATTAAACAATTGGGAGAAAATTTCATAAACTTTTAGAGAAACTGATTTATTAGGAAAAATTTAGATGGAAAATATGAAATGCTTGGAACATATGATACAACGACTTCACATTTGGATTGGTATGGAAAGGAGAAGTTTGCAACATTAAATGGATTAGCACCACCAGACTCGACGATTATAAAGGAATCATTTTTAACAATCAGCATTGAGGTTAACAGTTAACATCCATTCGAATCATCTCGAATTGTTTTCAACAAATTATTTTTATAATTTTCCATTGAGTTCTTGGAATCATTTTTTATTATAAAACTGAAGGATTATAGTGATATATCTTTAGCAATTAATCAAGATTTTTTTCCTTCTCTTGTTTTATTGTTTTCGTAGAGCCTTCATGGATCTACACTTTTAAAACCGTACTCATTTTAGATTTTAACTAAAATAAAACAATTTTCAACTGTAATATATATATTATATATTTTTTAAATAATTTTGCAATAATTGTAAAAATTTTTTTTTACAATTTTTTTTAAATTAAATTACAGTTATATTATGCAGTTGCCGCTTTCGCAATTATTGGAATTTTTTTATCGATAACAATATTCATCTTTAATTTTAAAAATTCATCCAGAAGGTTCCTTTTTTTGCAGTTTTTTGATTTTTCTTCGCCCTCTAGTAGTGCTTCGTTTTGCTTCCATACCAGAGAATCACATGGATTACAAATAAATTGTCACAAACACAAAATTCTTCGAATGAAATTTAATCCACACAAGATATGATATGAATCTTTAGTTGAAGCAGCATATCATTTGGCCATCCTAGTAACAGTATTTAAATAAGATAAGTAGGTTTTTAATTATAGTATTTAAATTCTCTTATTTTATATATTATTTTAAATGAAAATTTTCAAATAAAAATGATCTCTATTGATTTGCTATTATAAAAAAATTTAGCATAATAATTCAATCACAACCTAAATGCAATAACATATTTATTGTTGGTTGTATACTTTGCTCGTTTAGTCTTCTTTTAATGGGAATTCCAGCAGATGGTATAACTTTACCGAAAGAAAGTTTTACTTTTCTTTGCCATGTTAGTTTATTTAAATGATTATCCATTTATTTTATTTGATCCTTATCGAAATCAAATGATAAAGTTTAGAATTATTTTACTTTTTTAATTTTATGGTAATATTTTCTCAAATATTTATCTATTTGATTTCGATAAACACAATTTTAACACAATTTTCAAGTCAATTTATCACATGGCGTTCGTTTAAAGTAATAATATAAATAAAAATTTAGACTCGAATTTCGTTATTAATGGTTGGTTTCACATTTGGATATGGCTCAATGTTTGCGAAAGTATGGATCGTGCATCGGGTTGGAGCATCCGGGAATCAAGAGCTTGTCTCACAGCAAAAATCCAATGATGTTAGTCATTAGTAAGTAAATATTAAAAAAATGCCCACACAATAATGGTCAAATAATTTTTTTTCTATTCATGTTTGCCTAGCCTAATCAATTAATTCTTTATAAGTCTTTAAGTGATTTCAGTTTATGTTTTATTTGTTGAATGTTTATAACACTGGACCAAAATCTGAACTATTCATCCATAAACTAAGAGATATTTTTTCAAATTTTTCATCCTGGAATTGTTTCCTATTACTAGTATAGTAATAGAAAATGAAGTGTATAAACGGTTCCAGTTTTAGTTAGGCTAGCTGCTAGTTAGCTCGCATCATCTGGATTTTTCGACCGGATGGCAAGAACAAGGTCTTTCTAATACAATAAACCCACCAGGCTACCCAAACCTCAATTTGGTCCTGGTTTCACTGGTATTAAATTTTACAAATGATTTTGTTAAAGCAAATATTAAGTTAAACAAAATTAAGTGAAATGAATTAATTTAATCAATCAAAATTAAATCAAAATTAATCAAAATTTACTTTTTTTGCACGGTTAGAATTTTTTATACTGTAATCATTATTATTTGTAATTTTGCATAGAAAAAAAAAACTATTTATAAATAACGAGGAGGGAAAGAAACGATCAAAATTTTATCAAAATCTTTAAGAGAAATTTATGCAGATGGATAAGTTGATTCATATTTCAAAATAATCTATCATGGGTAACACTGGTTGTGAAGTTCTTAGATTATAAAATCAAACAAAGAAGAGCAAAGCTCCACAACTTGATGCTTTCAAAAAGTATTTTGAATATCATTCACTCCGAGTGAATATTGCCAATATACTTTTTCCCAAGGCTGCTTGAATGCAGTACAATATACTACAATATAATGCACTGAAAATTGAATTCCGAGCACTCTGAATCAAGAAATGCGTTGAATAAAATGTAATCTTATTTATCTCATTCTCTCTACAAGAATTTGTGCCAAGAATTTAAAAATTTCTTATTTCCTTATTCAATTTCTTTTCTTTCTAAGCATATTAATTTTGTCATTAAAGCACAGCGGACTGATCTTTTTTCGATTATCTGCTAATTTCATTTTTTCGACCTGTTTTCTTTTAAATAAATATGTTAGAAAAAGTGTTTTAATGCATTTTTTCTTGCAATTTTTATACACCAATGATTTTAAACAATGAATAATAATTTGTACATCATTGACTTTTCAATTTCTATATTATTTATTATATTTAAGTTTTTTATTTGGCTTAATTTTTTCTATAATCGATTTCAGTAATCAATTTTTATCTTTTCCCCACGTGAAAATATTGTACCATTCGTTGGCAAAAAAGTTTAAGAGACCAAGGCAACGAAAATTGCCAAGGGTTTTTCATATTTTTTTTATTATTATCTTAGAACAAGTGATGCAAATCATCACTTTTTAACAAGAGTCAGGGTTAAAGATTAGGATTTTTTTCGATGGAGCCCATGACCAAGGGTTAAAAAAGTAAGCAAACTGAAGATTATACTAGTTTTTACAATTCTATGTTTCATTTAAATAAGTGCAATTTATGTATATTATATGCTTACATACAATAAACAGAACTATAAATAACAAATAAATTTATGCTTTTAAACGGTTTCGATTATTTATTCTTACAAGGCTTTAATGGATTCATTAATAAAAAAGAATTACTTCTTATCAATTTTATCAATTTATGCAATTTCGACATTTCTAAAATTGCTATTACAGCCAATTTCATCAAAAAAATTCTACCTCATTATTGCTATATTCTTTATCATTGACTTAATTATTATTGTTTGCTGGTTATTATACGATCCATTACAGAGAGAGGAACGAAGATTCCCATTACAGGTTTTAATCTTCTTCTGAGGATTTTTGAGCTATTTTGATGCCAATTATCTCAACTCGAGAATGAATAGTAATTAAGATTGAAAAATTTAAAAAGTTGAAAATATGAAAAAGTGGATAATACGGAATTACGAGTGATCATTATTATTTAAATAATTTACTAAAAAATTCAAAACGAGATATAAATTTCTAAGGAAACATGGTGAAAACTATCAGATTTACAGGAACCGCCACCAGGAACTGAAGAAGATGTCATGTTATTACCTATACTGGAATACTGCCAAAGTAAACGCCATGAAATTTGGACCGGTAATTTTTATTGCAGAGATCTTTTTTGCATTATTTTTAATGTATGTATGATTTTTCTGAACCTTGTAAAAAACAAATAAACTTACTTTTGGTTTTTCGGAAAACTTTAAAATTTTTATTGAAGTATTGCATTTTACATTTTTTATTCATACGATGATAAATTTTAGGTATAATTATGGGTTATAAATGTTTATTACTTATATTTGGTCTTTTTCTTGCGTATGAATCAAGGAATTTGAAACTTCGTTATATAAATGATTCTCGATTTGTTGGCCTTGCAATATATAACGTGACTATATTATCATTAGTAACCGGGCCTGTCGTTACTTTATTGATAAAGTCTCAAGCTGATGCCAATTTTGCTTTCATTAGTATTACTGGTGCTTTTTTTCAATTTTTTAATTTTCCTTTTTTTTAATTTTTATTAATTAGAAAACTAGAAAATATTGCAATTTTTATTACCACTAAGATTACCAAACTAAATTGTTTTATATTGGTTATCTCTATGCTCTCTTTCGAATTATTTTTATAAATACTCAATTTTAATCACTTGTAATTAATTTACACTTGACAAATTAATATTTTCAGTATTATTATGTATATATATAAGTCTTGGATTGATATTTATTCCAAAAGTCCTTCATTTAAGCCAGTTCATTAAAAATAATGATACTGATGATGTATTAGTGACACGAGCTACATCAAAATTAACATCGAGCGAACAAAAACGATTAGATGAATTGACCAAAGAAAATTTAAAAATAAAAACCGAAATCGAAATGGTTGGTCTTGTTTTTCCTTTTCGAAATACTATTTGAATATTTAATATTTAAAATATTGTATTTCTATAATTTTCATTTTTATTATTCATTGAATAATAGAAAGTCTCTTCGGATTAAATCTTCGATTCAAGTAAATTAGATAAAATTCGCCAGCACTCATCATTTCTGGTTAGGCCAGCTTCACTGGGTGATAGTACTATTGCAAATTTCTGCGAGAAGATCAGAGGATAGAAATAAGGAAAGATAGGTACGACAGAAATGTCACCAGCATTTTTTAATGATAGGTTTACTCCAAGAAGGAGAAAATCGAAGCTATGTGCTCAACGCAAGTCGAAACGACCATACCTCGTATTAAAAAATAATAGATTAATGTAATTTTGTATATAACGTCTTTTTTTTAACAGCCCTCACCATTTCTGGTTAGTCTCGCTCCACTGGCTTGTCACACTAGACAAAAATGCTGGGGAGTCCCTTGGCGGTAGAAGTACTGGTAAGTCGTTATCAGCCGGGTTTTTGGACAGGTTTATTCATACGGAAAGTAGAACCTCAGCATCAGCTATCCATATTGAGCAACAACCCACTGTGCCATTTTACTTTTTACCCTAAAACACATTTTATATTCTACAATATTCTATTATCACTTTTACCCATAAAATTAATTCAAATCGTGGTTTCTGCTTCTCCTGTAACTTTTCTGCGAGAAAAAAAATAATTAGCGCTCAAAAATGGTTTAAATTCGTTGCACTGGCTGTTTTAGGCTGTTGGATAAAATTAGCTCACAAACAATGGACTCCTCATGACTGTTCCGATATTTGACTGCTTGAAATCTATAAACAACTCGACTCTGCAACTCTAAAGGGTTATATCCCTTCAAGACACAATCTTTTATAGTTGCAAGATCATTGAAAATTATAAATAATTTATTTACTATGCAAATCAAACAAATTAATCCTAAAATAATGAAAAACTAAATTTTAAGAAAGAAACAGAAATTCAAGAGTGTCGAGAAAAAATTGCCAGAATGTTAAAGGACAATAATATAACAAATCCGACAAATAATCAGACAAATATCAGCGAAGGTTATATGACATTTTCAAAACCAACAACACTTACGACAACTGCTTTGATTGAAACACAACTTATCGCTGGCAAAGATAATAATATAAAAACGGGTTTCTCCGCTTTTCTCCTTTTCTTTATTCGATAAAAAATTTTACATATCCAATTCACTTAAATTGTTTCTTATTCTTATCCTAATTGTTTCTTATTCTCCTCTTATCTTTTTAATTAATTATTGAAGAGTTATTCAGCATAAAATTTCAGGTAATTTTCAAGATTATATCGCCGACGATGTTGAAACTGATAGTTCGTGTTTCGATGAAATATTTTTGTAAAAGTTTTAATAAAATAATATTTACAAATTAATTTATTTTACCGACGAAAATCAAAATTAAATATTAAAATTTCGCAATTCACTCATAATCGTAATGGTTTAAATTGTATGCAATTTCAAATTAAAATTTATTATTTCAACTTTGTAGCAGTGTAAAAAGAAGCAAATTGAAACAACGAAGTGAATTAAGTAAAGTACATTTCAGCGAGTCGCCTAGAATTGGAGGTAGATACCCAACCCGCTCCAGTTTTTAAATGATATTGCTCACTGCTGCTGGAAGTAGAAATTCCTACGGTTTCTTACGCTTTTTCAAACCATTACAACCGAAATAAAATGAACATTTCACAAAGAAAATATGACAAATACGACCTCAAACAATAGTTTTCAAACTGTACGAATTAAAAAGTTTTATTGAAAAGAAAAGAACTGAAAATGTGCTACTGGCAATTCGCAAACTGCCTATTACCTACTGCAGTTTGTCACAAAAGAAAAAAGAACATCTGAAATGAATGCAATGAAAAGTTAACAAATTCCAATTAACTAATTAATTAAATAGTAAATCCCAACAAACAAATTCCATTAAACTGGACCAAAAAACAATTGAATGAGAATAAAAACAACTAATCTAAAAAAACTAACTAGAAAATAGCACTAACAAATAAAACTACAACAAATAAAATTGAATATTTTAAAATTCCAGGCAATTTTCAAGCATATAACGTCAATGATGATGAAATTGATAGTTCATGTTTCGACATTTTTGTAAAAGATTTAATAAAATAATAATATTTATAAATTAATTTAACATCCATAAAAAAACAACCTGCGAATTTCCTTGCAGAGGATATGGAATTTTCTTTTTGTTGATATTACTAAACATTTCTAAACATTTAACCAAACATCACTTTTTAAAGAAATACATATGCATTTTATTTTACTTTATAAAAAAAAAGCAATCTTAATTCTCCATGTGATTCAATGAAATTAAATGCTTGGAATGCACTGACAACGAATTATGCGCTTTTTCAAACCTGAAAGTCGCATGGAATTAGCTGATATATAAATAAAGGGATTCTGCTTAGTGCGACAAGCCAGCGGAGCGAGACTAACCAGAAATGGTGAGGAATGTTTAAAAGAAAATGTAGAGAACGCGCAGTATAAAGGCTGGTCACCTGCACAGTGCAAATTATATAGTACTTTTTTGAAAAAAAATTTCAATAAATTCGAATAAAAATCCTAAACAAAAGAGAAAAAAAGAAAACAGAAACTAAATTCGGCTGAAAAAAGCAATCTTAATTCTCCATGTGATTCAATGAAATTAAATGCTTGGAATGCACTGACAACGAATTATGCGCTTTTTCAAACCTGAAAGTCGCATGGAATTAGCTGATATATAAATAAATGACTGCAAAAATTACAGGAAAAGAAATGTTTGGAAAATTTAAAATCGAAAATAAAATATTAAAGCTGACTGTTAGAACTTTTATCGAATTAGTATAGCCAACTAAAACATTTTATAAACTTTCTTAAACCAATTCTTTTTTTAAAAAATAAGTTTTAAAAAGCTACAAATGAAGAGGGAAATATTCAGCCGCAAATTTATTCCAACAAAAAAATAATCGCAAAATTCTTTATAATCGCATTACTTTAATATATACGCAATAAATAATCCGCAATAAATCGTGTGATTAATACAGTATTGTTCAATATTTCGCAAACATTTTTCCACTTTTTTTACCGAATTTCGAACCTCCATTAAAGGACTGATTATATAATTCGAAATGTGGTAAGTCAACCACTTTGCTGAAAAATAAGCGACAAATAAAGACAATAAATGAATGAATAAGTAATAGCACCAATGATAACAACAACAATAGTGGCACAATAATAATAATAATAATAGCAGTAATAATATTAAAAACATTAACAATAATGAAAAAGAACAATAAAAGTAAACATTGATAATAAATAATAAGTGATAATAAACAATAAAAACAGCACTGCTAATAATATGCCTATTTCATATAATTTATTATAGAAACCGTTAGTGGGGAATGGGCAAATAAATAACAAAAAGATTTTGCGAATTTCATTCTAGTGTAAGCATTTTGTAATAAATGACAAATCAAAATCCTTCCACTTTTCCAAAATTTTCATAAAACCTATCATTCTATTTATAAGGATTCATAAACGATAATACAGTACAAGCATAGCTCAAAAATTTCAGTTTACTTAGGGCTTTAACATGGCAATGAGTCTCCAACTTTCTCCGCTAAGGATATAAAGCTCTTGTTTCTAACTTGGAATCAGGCGCAACCTCTGCCTCCGTTCAACCTCTCCTCTGAATTTGAGAATTTTCAAAAACACTTTTTGCGCCACTTGCATTCCAATTCCTTATAGTATTGTCATTGTACAAAATACGTCATTTGTAAAACTATTAATTAGAGAAATAGGAGAATAAAATAAAATTCGATCTATATTTAAAAATTTTATTTTTTGTTTCTATTTTGAATGATACTAAAGGTAATGGAGTGAACGTCCGGAAACCTATTTGCAAGCTTAAGGTGATGTCTCATAATTTTTACATTTTACTGCCTTAATTTAACCACTGAGGTGGACTATCCACTCAAATATTCCTTACCTCATCAGTACCCATTGTGCGGTCAAGTATTAGTATAATAGAGGGATACTTTCTGTTAGGAACGGCTCAATATTAATGTGAGGATTTATATATACAAATTTATATGTCTTCTGAGGTTTGTGGTCTATATTTTCAATATCTTCTCGACGGTCTGTTATTGTTTGAGCTGCAAAATCTCTCTTTTTTTTGTTTGCAGGCCGAGCATTTTTTATTTCGATAATAATTTCTAATGTATTTCATCGCAAAGCCATGGTGTTTGGTGTACTTTTCTGTTTCCTGGAATTTTTATGAGAAGACAGTCGATTTGGAGATTTATGACTGATCACGCGAACTGTCTTAATCGTTCCCCTTTCAATCATTTTGTCATCGTGCACTAGGTTAATATACCGATTGCATTCCTCGTACAGCTTGATTTTGTGCAGCAACTTGATACGAATGGCAGAATCCTCTGGCGAATGGAGTTCGCAAATGAAGATAAAACATTTGAATTCTCGACTATCAATGTTTGAGGTTGAAATCCGTCTCGTTTTTATTTTTCGAGAAATCTATTTGCAATTGCTTTACTTTCAAATTGTTTTCCTGCTGTGCTGAATGCATTGCCACTGTCATCAAATACTCTGATAAACCAAAGCGAATCAAAAAGCTAAACTAGCATCAGCATCATCCAACTTCAAATTATGAAGCCGGCTATTGATATAAATGCACACCAATCGGATGGGCTACATGGCTGGAAGCTCGTTCAAAAATCTCTTCATCGCATACTTGAATATAGCAGAAGTGAAGGGATTTTGCAAGGACAAGAACATGAACATGTCTTTAACATGACTGGAGTTTAGTAGGTAGTT